GAATAATCATAGAATGCCATCCACGTGATCCGAACCAGACGCGTCCTACCGGCACTACCGCTGGGGTAGTGTGGCAAATTAGTCCCATCGGCCAGGCATGTTGCGACAACGTATTCAATTCTCAATCAGACCATTAATAAGTTATTTCTCGTGAGATCGGGGAAAAAATTATGGTCGCAGCGCCAAAGTAGGGGAGCCATACCATCCATCGGCCCGGCCGCAGATCAATCAATGACCCATCGAGTGTCGTCAGCGGAATCGTTCCTCTAATCAAAGACTGCGTGAAAAACAATCACGTGCTCAATCTTTTTTTATTACCCTGGTGGAATCCATACATATCAACCCATGCATGTAGACTCATAATTTTTATTTAAGATGCACAGTAAAAGAGATACGTATTCCCACTATTGCCTGGACATACCCATTCATTACCAGCAAATCCGACTATATACATATCATCGGGAGTACCGGTACCCGTCGTAGGAGATCAAGAGCTATCAGCGCCACCCATTATAGTATCCAATCCCCTCGCCGATCTCTGTCTGCCGATACGCGCTTAGATATTATGTCTGGAGGCAACCTCGCTCATCACAAAAAAATCCTTTTATATATATATATATATATATATATATATATATATATATATATATATATATATATATATATATATATATATTTATGTATAAGTCATGCATCATATTTATTATTTTTCATATCTGTCCTTCAATCATAGTACCCAATCGTTGCCATCCACCATAATATCCAATCCCTTCGCCGATCTTAGTCGGTGGATGCGTGGATAGATATTATGTCTGGAGGCAACTTCGCTCGTCATCAAATTTCTTTATATAACTATAAGTCATGCATCGTACTTATTACTTCTCACATTTGTCTTTACATCAGCCATTCAGACACAAAACGCAATTCAAAACATGAGTGAACACATTTTAGAGAGAAATATATGTCGATTACACATCCAACGCCCTCCTTACAGTAAAAAATGGACTCTCTTCTTGCCAAAAAGTTGAAGTGTCACCTCTCTCTCCTCCTTCTCAATCAAYAGACAACCTGACGTSAAGACTCGTAYGAAAAAATGAACATGARGAGACCAGCTGCATCCCCARAGGCAACTCCSCGTAATATGGGAGRCCYGCCRCAACARCCAAAGTGGGGAGGGTARTGYYGATCCCTGAAGCGCTTTTCTGGCGCTAGCCACCAATACAAGGCTTCATCAGAGGGGACACCTTCTCTCAAGTCACAACTGTTTCGGGAGTCGGAGCGGCGATGGAGGTGGCAGAGCTTGCAAGTGATGTAAGAAAGCGAGAAAGGAAARAAAAGCAAGTAAAGCAACGAAAGCGAGCAAAAYGTAGACTGACATCTCAATCGCTATCCCCATCTTCCCATCCGCCCACTCTCTGTTCAACGCCATCGCCCCTAGCTCGACTAGTCTGCAAACTGCCCAACGCAGAAGTTGAAACGGAAAGAAGACTAGCATTATTAGCAGCTCAACCCCCCAGTGTGCAATGCGATAAGAACGCAAAGAATGGAAGATTGTGCAGCCTCGTGGCGCATGCGTGGTGCATCATAAATGATCAAGACACCCAGGGAAATTTGGGGGTGATGGCGAGGAAGCTTAAACCCTAAACCCTATCTTCTTCGTCATCGATCATTTGATCCAACAATTCCTGATCCACCTGGTAATCCATGGCGGAAACGACTGTGAAGCACCGACTGGAGTGTCTATCGTCGTTCGGTCCGCAATCTTGAATAACGGTCAAGCGAGAAGCCTGTGCGGTAATCCGATGATAGGAGTCCGAGGGATGTTCCACTTGCTCAAATAGTGCTCCGTCATCGTCACTTTCCGAGAGATATTGCCCCCGGGCAATACAAACGTTGTTGGTGACGTGAGGCGGGAGACTTTTAGCAAAAGAATATAAAAAAAAAACATACAAAAAACAAAAACAAAAATTATAGCAGAGAAGAATTTGAGACAACTTCCCCTGATTGGGAGGATACGATCTGTATCACACGCCTTATGATTATCCTACTCAATTAAGCGAAACATCACTACTGGTGACCTGTGTACGAAAAAATAAAAAAATAAGAAAAAAAGAAGAAAACAAGAAAATAGTGTCCCGCCATCGTTACTTTCCGAGAGATATTGTCCGCGGTTAATACAAACGTCGTTGGTAAAGTAAGGCGGAAAACTTAAGCAAAAAAAAATAGAATCACAAATCAAGAGACAAAAAACAAAAGCAATGGAAGAAAATTGAAACACCTCCCTCTGATTGGGGGGAATCGATCCTTATCATACGCCTTTCGACTGTCCTACTCAATTGGGTGGAACATCTCTACTGGTGACCTGTGTACGAAAAAGATAAAAAAAAGGAAAGAAAAAAAAAAAATAGTGCCCCGTCATTGTTATTTTCCGAGAGATATTGCCCGTAGGCAATACAAACGTTGTTGGTGACGTGAGGCGGGAGGCCTACGCAAATCAATCAAAGAACAAAAACAAAAAATAAAAACAATAGTAGAAAAAAATTGAAACAACTCCCCTTGATTGGGAGGATACAATTTGTATCACACGCCTTCTGATTGTCTCGCCCATTTGAGCGAAACATCACTACTCCGAATGCCTCGTTATTCGTATTACTGTGCGCATGGGTTGTGCGCAAAATCGGATTTGGGTTTATTGCAAGCTGCGAGCCTGCTCCTGGCCCATAACCGTTGCCCTTCGCGCATCTCTTGTCGCGCAATAAGCTCTGAACGAGCTTGTGTGCCAGCTGGGCTGTGTCGCCCTCCAGTATTCGCCTGAGTTCCTCGGTCGTTGTCATTCAGCACAATCCTCCATCAAGGCTTATCTTTCATTATCATTATTATTTATTTATTTATTTATTTATTTATTTATTTATTTATTTATTTATTGCTCTATCCGGCTCTTAATGTCTTTACAAGTTGTCTCCTGTGCTTGGTGATTCCTCTCTTCTTCCCACCATCCTCGCTCCTCGTCCCCCTGTTATGTGTGTGTGTGTGTGTGTGTGTGTGTGTGTGTGTGTGTGTCTGTGTGTGTGTGTGTGTGTGTGTGTGTGTGTGTCCACGCATGCTCGTGGTGGGTGGCCGGGGGGTGGGGCGACCCCTCCCCCCACCAATCAATCAATCAATGAATAAAAAAACAAACAAAATCGAATCAATCAATCAATCAATCAATCAATCATTCGCAGGGTGGGACAACGCCTCCCCCACCAGTCAATCAATCAATTAATCAATCAATCAATCAATCAATAAATCAATTAATCCATCAATCAATCAATCAATCAATCAAACAACAATCAACGAGAAAAAATAAAAATCGAAGAAATCAATCAATCAATCAATCAATCAATCAATCAATCAATTAATCAATCAATCAATCAATCAATCATTCAATCATTCAATCAATCGACGGAAAAAAAAAAAAAAAAAAAAAAAAAAAA